ATGTTACCAGATTTCTATTAAATATGACCTATAATGAATTACAATATGCATGAAATTGTTTTCCTTCCCAAAATGTTTTAATTAATTATGTTTAAAAGCAGCTTTCTGTGTTGGAATGGTGTGGGCGTACCCCAACGACAGAATGTGTGGGCGTATACCAGTCATTAAAAATATTAATGCGAGTAGACCTCTAACGATGAACTTAGCCTTAAGATGCTTTTGGGAAACCGGGCAGTTTGAGATACAAGTTGTAAAAAATTGTTTTCACGTTTTTTCTCCAATTTATGCTTTGGACACAAATACAAGTATAGGACGTGTCAACAACATTATTTGAGTATGAGTTAACCTCTATAGGTTGGGCGTCCCTATACAGGGACGGTTGCTGCTCAATATGCGATATGTGACTAGAATGGCGTTGTAAACAACAGCCAACTTTCCAGGACATAGACATGTCTTATATGGGCAGAAAGCTTAAATTATTGTTAATCTAACTGCAGTGTCCAATTTACAGTAGCTATTACAGCCAAAAAATACCATGCTATTGTTTGAAGATTGTGCTCAACAACAAAACACTTTTGTCACGGCAACTGGTACATTCACTTCTAAAGGTAAATAATGTACTTACATTCAGTTACTTGCTCTGATTTGTAATCCTGAGGGTCCCAGAGATAAAATGTAGCATAGCTTTGTTTGATAAAATCAATTTTTATATTCAAATGTAGGAACTGGGTTCTATAGCATTTTTGTATGTTCTCTATAGTTACACACTTGAAAATGTATAAATTGACCAATTCGGAACATTTGGGAAAAACTCCTGGCAGACTTGATACAAAATATTGTGTAGTGATGTAATCCTTCACTGGATCAGTCTGAAACTTTGCACACACATGCTGCCATCTTGTGGACAAAATCTAGATTACACCTTGATTCCAACATCACTGTCTGGCCTTTCTCTTGCATTGCAAAGATGATTAAAAAAAAGAAACAAGAAAACACATGTTTTTTTGTTTGTATTATCTTATACCACATCTAATGTGTTATATTCTCCTACATTAATTTCACATTTCCACAAACTTCAAAGTGTTTACTTTCAAATGATATCAAGAATATGCATATACTCCGCTGTCCTGGCGTCGTGAGGGAGCTTGTTCCACCATTGGGGTGCCAGAGCAGCGAACAGCTTTGACTGGGCTGAGCGGGAACTATGCTTCCGCAGAGGAAGGGGAGCCAGCAGGCCAGAGGTGGATGAACGCAATGCCCTCGCCTGGGTGTAGGGACTGATCAGAGCCTGAAGGTACGGAGGTGCCGTTCCCCTCACTGCTCCATAGGCAAGCACCATGGTCTTGTAACGGATGCGAGCTTCAACTGGAAGCCAGTGGAGTGTGCGGAGGAGGGGGGTGACGTGAGAGAACTTGGGAAGGTTGAACACCAGACGGGCTGCGGCATTCTGGATGAGTTGTAGGGGTTTAATGGCACAGGCAGGGAGCCCAGCCAACAGCGAGTTGCAGTAATCCAGACGGGAGATGACAAGTGCCTGGATTAGGACCTGTGCCGCTTCCTGTGTAAGGCAGGGTCGTACTCTCCGAATGTTGTAGAGCATGAACCTGCAGGATCGGGTCATATCCTTGCTTCAGGTCCTGAGCTACAGGCAGTTAGATTTGGGTATGTCATTTTAGGCGAAAATTGAAAAAAAGGGCACGATCCTTATGAGATTCTCATTGGACAGATACTTTTACTTAATTAGTATGGCCCAGTAGAAACAGTTATTTGTCAATCACCCGTTGACACACATAAATTGTAATCTGTTATGAGATTGTGGGGCAGAAAAGTTCAGATGAAGACACATGAAGTCATTTGACCTGCCAAGAGGTACAGTAGCCATAGCCAACGGTATGAGCTACAGGTCGCGTTCCAGGCCGCCTACATTGCAGTCGCACACTAAATCTCCCAAAGACTTATGTTGTGCTTTACATGTCAGTAACTGAATTAATATGGCATAACTGCATTGTAGACTGCAACGTAGATGACGTTGCATTAAATCATTGGTAAATTTGTGCAGCGTGACTGCTTTGCAGATGTCTGGTGTCTGATATCTGGAACGCGACCATAGTCTTGCTCTTCAGAAGTGGTAGGACAGGCCAGGTTTTTCATCTGTTATGTGGTGTAGCCCAGTTAAAGGGAATGTCTTGAGGAACAACATACTCCTCAGCTAGAGGCTTCAGATTCAAGATGTCATTTCATACACAGCGCTATAAAGAGTCAGTTGACACATAGGGCTGGATTCAATTCAGGTTATAGCTTGATTGAAATTGAAAGGCAATGTTCCCACATTCACGGTAAACGCTGCATGTCGGCTCAATTGGAAATTACCTTTACATTTTAACGCAGATCTTCCGCGAAACAGATTGAATCCAGCCCTTAATCTCACGCGCCAGACTTTGAGTAGAATTTTTTGGAATATTCAGGGCAATATTTTTCCGGGTCGTCATTGTAAATAAGACTGGTTAAATAAAAATAAAGAGACACTAGTCTGGCTCTGCGAGATTACTGTAGTTGACACTGTGCATCAGAACCTAAAAAGCTCTATTACAGTAAGTATAGGGCTAACTGGCCGTTTCCAACAGGCTTCACTACCATGTCATAATAAAACTCACAAAACATGCATCATACGACAATTATAGAGTTTTACACGTCATGAAATCTCGACGATCTGATTTTGGCCTCATTTGTTTAGTGTTTAACATGAAACAATGCTGACAACATCAATACCGTCTCAGTTTTATAAAAAAAGATCTACATATTCAAAACATTCCCCTTATCATTTCCGCAAGATCATTTAATGTAAATATTTGTAACATTGATCAAAGATTCCCAGTAGTGTCCAAATGGGTTCAGTAGTCTAGAAAATATCAATCATTGTTACCTAGCTACCAACATTGATTTTCTGACAACAATTAATTCTCTTAGTTTCTGATTCCAATGGAAAACTTCTAATGTCTCATTTTTGGATACTGTAATACTGCCAAGAATAAAATGATTTCTTTAACTTATTTCATGAAAAGAGCCAGTGCGTAATAATCTGCCAATGTGGTATAAAAAAAAAAGTAGCTAGCTTGATACATTATTGAACAGGGTTATGTCACGTTTTGGAAAAGTATCTATTTTCAGCAGTGATACACATTGGCAAGACATACAGATATTTCGTATGTGTGATACCAGTCAATAACATGTAGATCTCTCAAAGCTAAGCTGGCTATAACAGTGTTAAAAACAAACATACCAGGTAACTGCCAAAATAATGAAAACACCTCAGTAGAGGGATACAAAGTATATTGAAAGCAGGTGCTTCCACAAAGGAGTGGTTCATGAGTTAATTAAGCAATTAACATCTCATCATGCTTATGGTCATGTATACAGTGCATTCAGAAAGTATTCAGAACCCATTACTTTTTGTTATGTTACAGCCTAATTCTAAAATTGATGAAATAGTTTTTTCTCATCAATCTACACACAATACTCCATAGTGACAAAGCAAAAACAGGTTATTCGATTTTGGGGGGGGGGAGAAATGAAAAAAAATAAAAATAATTATATATATATATATTACATTTACATAATTATTCAGACCTTTTAATCAGTACTTTGTTGAAGCACCTTTGGCAGCGATTACAGTCTTGAGTCCTCTTGGGAATGACGCTACAAGCTTGGCACACCTGTATTTGAAGAGTTTCTCACATTCTCATCTGCAGATCCTCTCAAGCTCTGTCAGGTTGGATGGGGAGCGTTGCTGCACAGCTATTTTCAGGTCTCTCCAGAAATGTTAGATCAGGTTCAAGTCTGGGCTCTGGCTGGGCCACTCAAGGACATTCAGAGACTTGTCCCGAAGCAACTCCTGCATTGTCTTGGCTGTGTGCTTAGGGTCGTTGTCCTGTTGGAAGGTGAACCTTTGCCCCAGTCTGAGGACCTGAGTGCTCTGGAGCAGGTTTTCATCAAGGATCTCTCTGTACTTTGTTCCGTTAATCATTCCCTTGATCCTGACTAGTCTCCCAGTTTTTTTTGTACTCTTCCTCAGACCTGTGCCTCGACACAATCCTGTCTTGGAGCTCTACGGAAAATTCCTTCGACATCATGGCTTGGTTGTTGCTCTGTCATGCATTGTCAACTGTGGGACCTTATATAGACAGGTGTGTGCCTTTCCAAATCATGTTCAATCAATTGAATTTATCACAGGTGGACTCCAGTCAAGTTGTAGAAACATCTCATGAATGATCAATGGAAACAGGATGCACCTGAGCTCAATTGAGTCTCATAGCAAACGGGCTGAATACTTATGTAAATAAGGTATTTCTGTTTTTTTATTTGTAATAGATTTGCAAAAACGTCTACAAACCTGTTTTTGCTTTGTCATTATGGGGTATTGTGTGTAGATTGATGAGGGGAAAACATTTATTTAAATCAATTTTAGAATAAGGCTGTAACGTAACAGAATGTGGAAAAAGTCAAAGGGTCTGAATACTTTCCCAAATGCACTGTAAAAATTCTGGGCAGGTCATTTTGGCTACCATGGCTATGTCCCCATAAGATGACAATGCCCCCATCCACAGGGCACGAGTGGTCACTGAATGGTTTGATGTGCCTGTAAACCATATGCCATGGCCATCTCAGTCACCAGATCTCAACCCAATTGAAAACTTATGGGAGCTTCTGGAGTAGCACCTGAGATAGCGTTTTCCACCACCATCAACAAAACACTAAATTATAGAACTTCTCGTGGAAGAATGGTGTTGCATCCCTCCAATAGAGTTCCAGATACTTGTAGAAGCTACAGTATGCCAAGGTACACATTATGTTTGTGTTTCCTTTATTTTGGTAGTTACCTATACATACATACATACATACACTCCTTCAAGTCTTAGCTTAACAATCCGTTGTGGGTCTGTCTTATCAGTAAACTAGACTAGACAAAAAAAAGAAGAGAAACATTCTCAGTGCAACAGCCATCATCTCTCCTGTAGAGGAGAGGAGCAGGGGGAGGAAGGAGCAGACGAGGGGTCCAAGATGATTGACCGAAAACTCTGAAGGGGAGAAGGGAAGAACAGGAAAAGAGTATCAATTTACTTTGAAACATGATCAATGATGCTCTTCTGATTATTGGACAATGAACATGAATCTTCATCAATAGGTAGGATAACCTCACGATGCCATCCTTCCAAAGTCTTGTTCATCACTCTGGAGGAATCCTAGAAACCGAGGCTATAGAGGGGATAAATGCCTATAGGACTAATATGTAAATTAAACGATGATACCCAACTCACAGTGTAGTCCTGCAGATACAGGGCTGCTGCTACAGGGTTTCCACAGCGGGTCTGCAGGGGACAGGAGATGGTGGCGATGGAGGAGCAGGGAGGGGCTGGGGAGGAGGTGTAGGTAGCCACCTCCTCATCCAGACGTAGCTCCTCCAGGGGGGGGAGGCGCCGGCGGAGCAAGGCTGCGGCAGAACTCAGAGCGCCGCTCTTTGGGATGATGATACTACCTGCAATGACACGGGTTACTGGTTAGACATTCAGAGGACCGAGGTCAGTCAATCAAATGTATTTATTAAGCACTTTTTGCGTCAATGGGATAGGAACCATGAAATGTTTATCGATCAATGGATTCAGCCCACTCTACTGAGTCAGCCCTGCTACAAGTAGTATCAAAAGTTAAATTGTCTCAGCAGTCCTACCTCTGGGATGACTCAGGGGGACAAAGGCTGAGGGGTTGGCTGATGCTGTGGCTGCAGTAGCAACCATGGACAGGGTTTCTGGTCCAGACGAGGGTCTGTCTGGATGGAGCAGGAGCTTGAGGACAGTCCCCTGTGCTGAAGCTCTGGGCCCAGGCCAACACTGCTCCAGTGGCCCACCTCGCTCCAGAAATCCAGCCACAGGGCTCTCCTGTTCTTGTGCTACTCTGAGCAGCTTCTTCCCCGTTGAGAAGAAAATGACAGATTCCCTGTGTGGGGCTTGGAAGAAGGTCTGGAGTCCTCTTCCCGTGTTATTTTGCTCTTCCTCCTCCTCTTGGTCCTTGTCTGTTCGGGTCTCAGCAGGGTCTTTGTCCAGCGCCCTGTTGTCTATCCACAATTCCTCCTCTTGGTCCGTCTCCTTGAATAATCTCTGAACAACCTCCTGCCACAAACAATGACTTAACTGACTCTACATTATGAAATACACGTTACCAGCCTAATTCAATCATGTGGTGTATGATGTATATTCCATTAGTAAGCTTTCCTCCTCACCTCCTTGTGTGTCTCCAGATCTCGGGTGTGGCCCTGGAGGCCCCAGAGTCTAGGAGAGCATGCGTAGGGGGTCCGGTGGGCAGACAGGTGCCTCCTCTGAAAGAAGGATGGCTCAGTGAGTTAGAGCATCCATGGTGCTGGCAATATCAGGGTTGTGGGTTTGATTCCACCATGGGCAACATATACTGAGAATGTGTCACTTTGGAGTTGACAGTAAACATTTTTTTACAAAAACGACATACAGACCATGGACATAAGAGTGAGGGTGTACTGTAACGTACTTACCATGGACATGGGCTGATGCCTGGTGTCAGGGACCCGCTGGGGTGTCCACTTCTGGCCGACTGGCATCACTGAGGAGACAGAAAGATCATATCGACAGACCACGTCATAACACAGAGACAGAGCAGAGGGGTATCCTACGAAGCAGGTTTGAGGAGTTAGCGAGGTAACTTTGGTAAACTCAGAGTTCAACTCAGGATAAATCGGTCTTATGATAGCGGCTCACCTTTTAGCCAGGTACAGTTCTATGGAAAAACAAATCCTTCAGAACTAACTTGCTCCGGGGCAGGCTAACTAAAATCTACTTACCCTAATAAAATGTGAGTTGAAGACCAATGAAATCAGATTCCCTCCCTCTTGCAAAGATTGTGTCCATCATCCCCTTCACTTGAGGAAGACACATTTTTCAATATTTTATTACTCAAATATTAATGTTAAAATATATCACATTACACATTTAGTAATGACAGAATATATTTTAAACTTCACGCAATGTAACACTTTTGTATGACAATGAAATACAAATATTGATAGGAGTGGGAAAAAAAGGTGCTTGTGCATTGATAACCACACCAAAGACGGCATTAACGATAAGTAATAAAATAAAAGATGGCACTTCTAAAAGCTTATTTGACACCATAACCTGCTGGATTTGCAAGATACATTTTCTTTCATTTTGATTTCGGCACAAATTTTCAGCATTGTCTCAATAAAGAGTTTGGTGTTCGACTAGCCATGTGCAACATGCACGCGCAGCTACAAGCCTGCTAGAGTTAGCGACAGGCGGATGAGCAATGTCCACCGTCGTAGTAAGGATGAAGCCTGAGCTGGAATGTGAAACTAACAAGCTGGTTAGCTTTAGAAAACCCTCAGTAGAGCTAGCCTGCTTCGTAGGATACCCCTCAGAGGGCTGCTAACTGTAGCAGGCCTCTAACTTAAGTCATACAAAAGTTTTACTGTCCGTGAAGATTCAAATGCATTCTGTCATTACTAAATGTGATGAAGCAATCTTTGCGATAGGGAGGGAATTGGATTTCATTGGTCCTCAACTGGCTGCTCACACTTCATTCAGGATTAATGGAGTTAGCCTGCCCTGGAGCAAGTTAGTTATGAAGGATTTGTTGGCATAGAAATGTACCTGGCTAAAAGGTGAGCCAATTTCGTGGTACCGGTTGACCAAAGTTACCTCGCCAACTCCTCAAACCAGGTATGTAGAAGTTATAAGACAGACATCATACAATTTTTACATTTACATTTTTGTCATTTAGCAGACACTCTTATCCAGAGCGACTTACAATTAGGTGCATTCATCTTAAGATAGCTGGGTAAGACAACCACATATTACAGTCGTAGCAAATAAATGTCTCCCTCAAGGCCCCTGAGTAACACAGACCCAAGATGAGAGGGAAAAACAGGTGAATATCTGGTTGAGATTCGGAAAGTATTCAGACCCCTTCACTTTTTCCACATTTTATTATGTTACAACCATATTCTAAAATTGATTAAATAGTATTTTTCCCCTCATCAATCTACTCACAATACCCCATAATGACAAAGCAAAAACAGGTTTGTAGAAATGTTTGCAAATGTATTTTTTAAAAACCCAGACACATACTAAGTATTCAGACACTTTACTCAGTACTTTGTTGAAGCACCTTTGGCAGCAATTACAGCCTTGAGTCTTCTTGTGTATGCTTTGCACACCTGTTTTGCACACCTGTTTTTGGGGAGTTTCTCCCTTTCTTCTCTTCAGATCATCTCATGCTCTGTCAGGTTGGATGGGGAGCGTCGCTGCACAGCTATTTTCGGGTCTCTCCATTGATGTTAGATCAGGTTCAAGTCTGGGCTCTGGCTGGGCCACTCAAGGACATTCAGAGACTTGTCCCGAAGCCACTCCTGCGTTGTCTTGGCTATGTGCTAAGGGTTGTTGTCCTGTTGGAAGGTGAACCTTCGACCTAGTCGGAGGTCCTGAGCGATTCTGGAGCAGGTTTTCATCAAGGATCTCTCTGTACTTTGCTCCGTTCATCTTTCCCTCGATCCTGACTAGTCTCCCAGTCCCTGCCGCTGAAAAACATCCCCACAGCATGATGCTGCCACCACCATGCTTCACCGTAGGGATGGTGCCAGGTTTCTTCCAGACTTGATGCTTGGCATTCAGGCCAAAGAGTTCAATCTTGGTTTCATCAGACCAGATAATCTTCTTCCTCATGGTCAGAGTCCTTTAGGAGCCTTTTAGCAAACTCCAAGCGGGCTGTCATGTGCCTTTTACTGAGGAGTGGCATCCGTCTGGCCACTCTACCATAAAGGCCTGATTGGTGGAGTGCTGCAGAGATGGTTGTCCTTCTGGAAGGTTCTCTAATCTCCACAGAGGAACTCTGGAGCTCTGTCAGAGTGACCATACATTTGTCCATTTAAGAATGGAGGCCACTGTGTACTTGGGGACCTTCAATACTGCAGAAATGTTTTGGTACCCTTCCCAGATCTGTGCCTCGACACTGTCTCCGAGCTCTACGGACAATTCCTTCGACCTCATGGCTTGATTTTTGCTCGGACATGCACTGTCAACTGTGGGACCTTATATATAGACAGGGGTGCCTTTCCAAATAATGTCTAATCAATTGAATTTACCACAGGTGGACTCCAATCAAGTTGTAGAAACATCTCAAGAATGATCAATGGAAACAGGATGCACCTGTGCTCAAATTCGAGTCTCAGAGCAAAAGGGTCTGAATACTTATGCAAATAAGATATATATATATTTTTATACATTTGCAAAAATGTCTAGAAAACTGTTTTCGCTTTGTCATTATGGGATATTGTGTGTAGATTCATGAGGAAAAGGTTGTAACGTAGCAAAATGTAGAAAAAGTCTGAATACTTTCCCAACGCACTGTAACTATACTGAACAAAAATATAAACGCAACATGTAAAGTGTTTTTCAATAAAAAGATCCCAGAAAATGTCCATACGCACCAAAAGCGTATTTCTCTCAAAGTTTGTGCACAAAATTATTTACATCCCTGTTAAGGAGCATTTCTCATTTGCCAAGATAATCCATCCACCTGACAGGTGTGGCATATCAAGAAGCTGATTAAACAGCAAGATCATTACACAGGTGCACCTTGTGCTGGGGACAATAAAAGGCCACTCTAAAATGTGCAGTTTTGTCACACAAGATAATGACACAGTGTGCAATTGGCATGCTGACTGCAGGAATGTCCAATAGAGCTGATGCCAGATAATTTAATGTTAATTTCTCAACCATAAGCCGCCTCCAACGTCATTTTAAAGAATTTGGCAGTACATCCAACCGGCCTCACAACCGCAGACCATGTGTAACCACGCCATCTTGCTTCTTCATCTGCGGGATTGTCTGAGGAGGGGGAGGGCGGGTGTTGAGGAGTATTTCTATTTGTAATAAAGCCCTTTTGTGAGGAAAAACTCATTCTGATTGGCTGGGCCTGACTCCCCCAGTGGGTGGACTTGGCTCCCAAGTGGGTGGGCCTATGCCCTCCCAGGCCCACCCATGGCTGCACCCCTACCCAGTCATGTGAAATTCCATAGATTAGGGCCTAATGAATTTATTGACTGATTTCCTTCTATGAACTGTAACTCAGTAAAATCTTTGAGATTGTTACATTTATATTTTTGTATAACTTACCCATAGGTCCTCCAGGTGCTTCAGTGCAACTCTTTGTGACAGGTACTCTCTGAGCCTGGAAAGGTAAAGCACCACAGTGAATATTCTGTTTATATCCCTAAAGCCTCTCTATACTCATCAGTAAACTGTGGCTGCCTGTTTCATGCAGCACTAAGGAGACATGACATGAGAAATAGGCACGAGGCATTAGTATGGTAATGATTTTTTAAATCTTAATAGAAATGCATATAAAGTTGCTTTCACCCCGGCTGGAGTGGCTTTATACGCATTTTCAAATAATTAATTTTAATAAATACATCTATCGATCAAAATATTAAACTCACAGTGTAGATGGAGGTGCCCCTGCCAGAGGGGCAGACAGAGGTGCGTTGTGGTGTGGCCCCCAGGGGTCCCCCAGTAGTCACCCCTTCATTCTGCAGGATGCTGCTGAGGGCCGTGGGGTCTGGGGAGAACTGGACACTCCGTACTGGACCTGGAACACATACAAGGTTACATACTTGTTAGTTTAACAACTGGTTTTTTGAGCACTGTTTGAAGCTATAAAGCTTACTTACAATGAATGTTTTTGCATTATGATAATGAAGCAGTACTAAGCTATTGCAGGCATTTCTAAGTTTTGTTCTTCAAAACGTGCTCAAAGATGGGATGTGTCCAGTAGTACTACCACTGACCTGCAGAGGCTGCAGTCTTCTGATGACTCTTCATGATGGACACTCTCTGGGGCTGCAGAGGGTAGGTGATCCCTTCATTCTGCAGGATGCTGTTGAGGGCTGAAGGCTCAGGGGAGAACTGAACAGATCTTACGGGACCTACAGTGCATTCGGAAAGTATTCAAACCCATTGACTTTTTCCACATTTTGTTACGTTACAGCCTTATTCTAAAATGGATTCAATTGTTTTTTTTACCTCAATCTCCACACAATACCCCATAATGACAAAGCAAAAACAGGTTTTTAGAAATGTCTGCAAATTTATTTAAAATAAAAAAACAGAAATATCAAATTTACATAAGTATTCAGACCCAGTACTTTGTTGAAGCACCTTTGTTGAAGCACCTGTCATGTGCCTTTTACTGAGGAGTTGCTTCCGTCTGGCCACTCTACCATAGAGGCCTAATTGGTAGAGTGCTGCAGAGATGGTTGTCCTTCTGGAAGGTTCTCCCATTTCCACAGAGGAACTTTAGAGCTCTGTCAGAGCGACCATCGGATTCTTGGTCACCTTCCTGACCAAAGCCCTTCTCCCCAGATTGCTCAGTTTGGCAGGGCGACCAGCTCTTGGTGGTTCCAAACTTCTTCCATTGAAGAATGATGGAGGCCACTGTGTTCTTGGGGACCTTCAATGATGCAGAAATGTTTTGGTACCCTTCCCCAGATCTGTGCCTCGACACAATCCTGTCTCAGAGCTCTACGGACAATACCTTCGACCTCTTGGCTAGGTTTTTGGTCTGACACGAACTGTCAACTGTGGGACCTTATATAGACACGTGTGTGCCTTACCAAATCATGTCCAATCAATTGAATTTACCACAGGTGGACTCCAATCAAGTTGTAGAAACATCTCAAGGATGATCAATGGAAACAGGATGCACCCAAGCTCAATTTTGAGTCTCATAGCAAAGGGTCGGAATACTTCTGTAAATAAGGGATTTCTGTTTTTTGCTTTGTCATTATGGGTATTCTGTGTAGATTGATGAGGGAAACATTTAATTTAATCAATTTTAGAATAAGGCTGTAATGTAACAAAATGTGGAAAAAGTCAAGGGCCCTGAAATTAGAGTGCACTGTATAAACAATTCAAGCACATACAAGGTTACAGACTTGCTAACCTATCCTAGGCCCTTAGACTGAGCTGGAGTAGGAGTTTGAATAGGCTGGCTAATCAAACAGCTCAGTGCAAACTATATTTTTAAAGGGTGCCACATGCAACATTTCCACCTGGAAATAGCCCTCAATGTCAATCCCATATCAGCAGTACATAGACCTTTATATGCAGTAGTAGGAAAGTCATACAAATCCAGATTGGAAATGTCCAGTACTAGTACCACTGACCTGCAGAGGGTGCCATCTTCTGTTGACTCTTCATGATGGACACTCTCTGGGGCTGCAGAGGAAAGATCACTTCAAGTTAGTTCACAGACTGATATTGGACACACAAACTCAGAAAGATCATCAGTCAGTAAGTACCCTGCAGATCTGGGTTCACTTCAATTGGTATTTGTTTACTTTCAAATACGTTGAGTGTTTGATTACTAGGACTATTCTATTGGTTCCATTGCACCAGGCAACCTCAAACTAATAGAACAAAAATAAGTTGATGCTGGATAGTAAACAACACCGGAACAGCCTTTGTGCAAACAAACTTCCAGAAGTAATAAAGGCACTCACATGTAGTGGAAAAATAAAAGAGCCTTTAATGTATTGTAGCTTATGCATGGCAATAATAAAACCACTGAAGCCTTGCGGCTACAACAGCCTTCATCAGGGTGAGAAAGAATAGGGGTAGACAAACTGGTGTGTATCCCAACTCTCACAGGAAGCGACTTAATTCATTACCATATGGAATTGATCAATCAAAAAAACTTGAGGATAAAAATATTCAAGATACAAAGATAAACATGGCATAACGAGAAAGGAACACCACAAAATAAATGCAATATCATAAAAGGAAAAAAAACGGTGTACATGAGCTCGTTACCAAGTTAAAAATTTTATAAACCACACACTAGACTCCCTGCGGACCTGTCATCTTTTCACTCCCTCCTCTCTACATTCTCTTCCTCTGTTTCCGCTGCTAAAGCCACTTTCTACCACTCTAAATTTCAAGCCTCTGCCTCTAACCCTAGGAAGCTCTTTGCCACCTTCTCCTCCCTGCTGAATCCCCCTCCTCCTCCCCCTCCCTCATCCCTCTCTGTGGAAGAATTCGTCAACCATTTTGAAAAGAAGGTTGACGACATCCAATCCTGATTTATTAAGTCAAATGACACCGCTGGTCCTGCTCACACTGCCCTACCCTATGCTTTGACTTCTTTCTCCCATCTCTCTCCAGATGAAATCTTGCGACTTGTGACGGCCGGCCGCCCAACAACCTGCCCGCTTGACCCTATCCCCTCCTCTCTTCTCCAGACCATTTCCGGAGACCTTCTCCCTTACCTCACCTCGTTCATCAACTCATCCTTGACCGCTGGCCATGTCCCTTCCGTCTTCAAGAGAGTGAGAGTTGCACCCCTCCTCAAAAAACCTACACTCGATCCCTCCGATGTCAACAACTACAGACCACTATCCCTTCTTTCTTTTCTCTCCAAAACTCGAGCGTGCCGTCTCTAGCCAACTCTCCTGCTATCTCTCTCAGAATGACCTTCTTGATCCAAACCAGTCAGCTTTCAAGACTGGTCATTCAACTGAGACTGTTCTTCTCTGTGTCACGGAGGCTCTCTGCACTGCTAAAGCTAACTCTCTCTCCTCTGCTCTTAACCTTCTAGACCTATCCGCTGCCTTTGATACTGTGAACCATCAGATCCTCCTCTCCACCCTCTCCGAGTTGGGCATCTCCGGCGCTGCTCACTCTTGGATTGCTTCCTACCTGACAGGTCGCTCCTACCAGGTGGCGTGGCGAGAATCTGTCTCCGCACCACGTGCTCTCACCACTGGTGTCCCTCAGGGCTCAGTTCTAGGCCCTCTCCTATTTTCTCTATACACCAAGTCACTTGGCTCTGTCATATCCTCACATGGTCTCTCCTATCATTGCTACGCAGACGACACACAATTAATTTTCTCCTTCCCCCTTCTGATAACCAGGTGGTGAATCGCATCTCTGCATGTCTGGCAGACATATCAGTGTGGATGTCGGATCACCACCTCAAGCTGAACCTCGGCAAGACGGAGCTGCTCTTCCTCCCAGGGAAGGACTGCCCGCTCCATGATCTCGCCATCACGGTTGACAACTCCGTTGTGTCCTCCTCCCAGAGTGCAAAGAACATTGGCGTGACCCTGGACAACACCCTGTCGTTCTCCGCTAACATCAAAGCGGTGACCCGATCCTGCAGGTTCATGCTCTACAACAGAAAGCGGCACAGGTCCTAATCCAGGCACTTGTCATCTACCATCTGGATTACTGCAACTCGCTGTTGTTGGGCTCCCTGCCTGTGCCATTAAACCCCTACAACTTATCCAGAACGCTGCAGCCCGTCTGGTGTTCAACCTTCCCAAGTTCTCTCATGTCACCCCGCTCCTCCGCTGGCTTCCAGTTGAGGCTCGCATCTACTACAAGACCATGGTGCTTGCCTACGGAGCTGTGAGGGGAACGGCACCTCCTTACCTTCAGGCTCTGATCAGACCCTACACCCAAACGAGGGCACTACGTTCATCCACCTCTGGCCTGCTAGCTCCCCTACCTCTACGGAAGCACAGTTCCCGCTCAGCCCAGTCAAAGCTATTCACTGCTCTGGCACCCCAATGGTGGAACAAGCTCCCCCACGACGCCAGGACAGCGGAGTCACTGACCACCTTCCGGAGACACTTGAAACCCTACCTCTTTAAGGAATACCTGGAATAGTATAAAGTAATCCTTCTTCCCCCCACCCCCCATAAAAAAAAGACAAAACTGCACATTTTAGAGTGGCCTTTTATTGTCCCCAGCACAAGGTGCACCTGTGTAATAATCATGCTGTTTATTCAGCTTCTTGATATGCCACACCTGTCAGGTGGATGGACTATCTTGGCAAGGGAGAAATGTTAACTAACAGGGATGTAAAGAAATTTGTGCACAAAATTTGAGAGAAATACGTTTTTAGTGATTATGGAAAAATTCTGGGATTTTTTTATTTCAGCTCATGAAACATGGGACCAACACCTTACATGTTGCGTTTATATATTTTTTCAGTATATAAACCAAAGAAGCGCTCCTCTCCTGTGTCTCTCAATCTAATAGAGTTCCAGGTCTGCTGTGTAAAGGAACCATAGGACAACTCACCATGTTGTTATAGGCTTGTGTAGAGGGACGGCTAGACATTGAAGCCCCAGCAGCATTGACTCCGATATTCTGCAGGATACTACGCAGGGCAAAGGGGTCAGAGGTGAAGGCCTCCACATGCCCTGGAACACACACACAATGGACAATGGAACACATCATTTCAAAAACTAAATATAAATCTAAAGATGACGAAAACATATATAATCTAGACATAAAGTAGAGAGCGAGAGAGAGAGAGAACAAACACCATGACACTGCAGCTATATGATGACCTCTGAACTGTTACCATACTTAAAAATACAACTTCACTCACCAGCGGTGCTACTTGGTAACTGTCCTGGCTCGGATAGATCTTTGATGCTAAGTGTGTCCAAATGGCCCCTGCAGGCTTCCGTACTGAGGGCAGTGGGCTTGGCTGAGGTAGTGGAGGAGGCACTGCTAAATGAGAAAGCAATGGACTCCAGACCTGAGCCAGGACCAAATGAACTGGGAGGTCTGGAAAGACCAAGCTGTCCCGATCCAGATCCGTGAAATAGATTGTTTGAAGAAGTAGGTGCCTTTGGTTTCGGATGTTGAGACAAAGACATGGAGGTGGCAGCACTGGTAGCCTGGGGCCAATGAGTCTTCCGTCCTTCTCCATTGGGATGTGACAAGATGCCTGCTAGCCCTGGACCTTCTTTTCTGGCCGCCAAGTGTTGTGCGAGTGTTGGGAGTCGAGCAGCAAGTTCTACTGTTGACTTTGTTTGGGCCTTGTTATGAGTTGCTGGGACGGAACTGGGTAGTTTAGCTGTCGTTGTGAGTCTTGTTTTAGGGCTGGCAGCAGCGCTAAAAGTATTTTCAGGTTGGGTGAGTTGAGCACCAGCCTTTGAAGTAGCAGCCAGCGGTCTTCTCTGGTTCTCGGTCCCCATTCGGTTGGCTCTGGGATGGGTGAAGTTGAAAGGTACTGGTTTGGTGCACGGCTTCTTCCTCTTTGCTTTACCCTTTAGGAAAACAGATAAGGACAAAGAATATAAATGACATCCCTTAGCACTGACAGTAATGCTAGGAAGATACTTTCAGGGCCGGTTTCTCAACAAAGATTAGGCCTATTCCTGGATTAAGAAACACTTTCAATATAGACTCCCCATCGCGCATGCCCAGAATCAGTGATACATTTAATTTGAAGCGATGGGATTACCATAGAAATATAATTGGGTTATCTACTTAGAATCGATCTATAGTTCTTACCGCTAGAGAGTTCTCCTCCCATCTCTTGTGTGACTGGGTGAAGTCAGAAGGCGTCTGAAGGGGCAGGGATTTAGCCAGCACTGGCAGCCTGCTGATGCCCAGTGGTCTTACAGGGGGCTTGGGGTCATTGTCTGAGGCTGCTGCTGGGTCCTTGTTCTCAGTCCCTCGTTTGGAACGGTGGCCGTGGGGTACAGGGGTGTGTTTGGAAGGGTGGGGTACAGACGGGTGTTTAGAACCTGGTTTTGGGTCTGCTGTCATTCTGTTGAGTTCGTTGAGTTTCATTCTGTTTAGACTGGAGAGAGACAGTCAATGTAGACAGACATATACTTTCCAGGCAGTGTATACAGTGTTGTTTTTAATTCAGGTTCACTTATCAACAGTACTTGATAAACAGTGGTCATGCATCATTAGGGAGAAGCGACCTACAACATAAAGCACAATTTACTCTAACGTTAACGTTAGTTTTGTTCATACTCTGTAGGCCTACCTTGAATGGTTGTTCAGGATTTTGTTCTGACTTTGCTGACGCAGAATCGGAGAGGAATCCATCTTCGCTCAGTCAGAGAGGTTCAACAGAATTCTGTAAATAACAAACCTGAACCAAATGTTAGTAAACATCATTCAGCATGTTAGCTAACACAGTTGGCAAGAGCATATGCTTTTTAGAGACAAAAATAGCAACTACATTGTCGCATTGCTTAATTACTTTACTACAGCTAGCTAACTTCTTTAATAGTTTAATGACTAGCTGGATAGCTTAATAGCTCCTGTGTAAAGCAAATAACCCACTGAAATCTTCTGATCCCTTAGAAAACACCACAAAACGTTGAACAATTTAAACGGTACTGTTACTGCTAGCTTCAAGCGTACTACTGAGAGAAACCGCAGCTTGCTCTCTGATCATGACATAACAAGAGAGAAAATCTGACTGTACTCACATGCAAACTTCAAAATAGAGATAGGTTTACTTGCTTCACAAAATGTTTTCGAACAAAATAATTAATATATCCCAGACTTTCCTATGTTTTCAACACAAAAGAGCCATGAGAACAAGACAAGCTCAAAACTTCCTGAACATGCTTCAGTTTGTAAAAAGCAAGTACTTTCATTGGTTAAACGAGAAACACCTTAAGGCAATCGTTGCGCTAGTTTATTCAAGAGCCCGTCTTTCCTTTGACCAATCAGCATCAAGCGTGTAAAAACAACTCCATGGAAACGACGCACGATGCTTCATCACGTGATCCAGTGAGTCCCTCCCCCACCCACTCCCTCTGAAATGTCTTTGTCCCTGTGACCCCATCTGAGCTTATAGTAGCACCCTTGGCTGCTCCCAAATATTCTTCTTCTAGATATTTGTATTCTTCTTTTCAATCTGTCATTTGTATTTGTATTTATTATGGATACCCATTGGAATAGAGTTCCATGTAGCCATGGCTCTATGTAGTACTGTGCGCCTCCCATAGTCTGTTCTGGACTTGGGGACTGTGAAGGGACCTCTGGTGGCATGTCGTGTGGGGTATACATGAGTGTCCGAGCTGTGTGCTAGTAGTTTAAACAGACAGCTCAGTACATTCAACATGTCAATACAACATGTCAATACAAAAACAAGTAGTGATTAAGTCAATCTCTCCTCTACTTTGAGCTATGAGAGATGTACATGCATATTATTAATGTTTGCTCTACGTGTACATTTAAGGGCCAGCCGTGCTGCCCTGTTCTGGGCCAGTTGTAATTTTCCCAAGTTGCTCTTTGTGGCACCTGACCACACGACTGGACAGTAGTTCAGGACCTGCCTTGTTGATATTGTTGTTAATAGGCAGAGTAGCACTTTATTATAGACAGACCTCTCCCCCATCTTAGCTACTGTTGCATCAATATGTTTAGACCATAACAGTTTACAATCCAGGGTTACTATTGTGGAATCACTGCAATGTTGTTGATCCATCCTCAGTTTTCTCCCATCACAGCTATTGAACTCTGTAGCTGTTTTAAAATCACCAATGGCCTCATGGTAACATCACTGAGCAGTTACATTCCTATCCTGCAGCTAAGTTCAGAAGGACAACTATATTTGATGTGTCTGGGTGGTTTAATACATCATCCACAGCATAATTATTAACTTGAACATGCTTAAAGAGATATTCAATGTTTGATTTGTTATTGTTACCCATCTACCAATCACTGCCCTTCTTTATGAGGCTTTCGAAAAGCTCCCTGGTCTTTGTAGTTGAATCTGGGCTTGAAATTCAATACTTGACTGAGGGACCTTACAGATGCTGTATGTATGGGGGGCAGAGGAAGGGTTTGTCAATGTACCTTATGTGATTTGTTGAGCCAAATTTTACTCCTGAACTAATTTAGGCTTGCCTAAACAAAGGGGCTGAATACTTATGCAATGATTATATTTTGGTTTTGAATTCTTTATTTATCTTTAAAAATTAATCATTTTTCTTCCACTTTGACAATAGAGTATTGTGTATAGATTGTAGACAAAAACATTACAATTAAATCAAATTGAATCCCACTTTGTAAAAATAAAATGTGAAGAAATTCAAGGGGTTTGAATACTTTAGCAAAGCACTGTATAGTGGACCCCTACCTGCAGTGTCCTGCCCCACCAGCAGGTGGGGCAGCTGAAACTGACTGGATTGTAGTGCTGTCAGCACATGTCCTCACCAAGCCACAGTACAGGGTGTGGGTGACTGCTGGCTGTCACACATAGGGCCACGTATCAAGAGGAGGGGAGAGGAGAGAAAAGAAGCTGTGAAAGAAGGAGTAAAACTGAAAGTTATGCTGCTGCAGACATGGACCTACGCTCAGAGCTCCTCAAGTCTATTTGGTATGGTTTCACTGCTCTGGATCTAGAGAAGAGTGGGAAAGTGTCCAAGTCTCAACTCAAGGTAAGTACCTGGATACATTAGGTAAAGGTAGATTTTATGAGGGTTATTTGGACCAATGCTTTGGGGCTCTTTCTTCTATCCATGCACACTTGCTGTCTCATTTCCGACCTCAGGAACATCATATTAATATTCTATTCTTGGGGTAGCTGGAGTCAGCCAACAATATATAAAGTGATCTGGATCCACAAAAATATACATTTATTGACATTGGATGATGAGCAAAACAGGTCCTGACCCAGCTAGCACATAACGTTCTGAGAACCATATGTTTAACTTCCCACAACTTTCTGGGAATGGTGCAGGATAGTTGCTTTGCTTTGGAACATTCTCAGCACATTTAAAGAACTTGACAAAAAAGCGTTCAGTATGTTTCTACGTTCTAGAATGTTCAATTGAACGGAAACGGTGCTGTATTGAATGACCAGTTGAAAAACGGGGAGGGGTTGGGTTGTGGGTTGGAGAACACTGTCAGCATGGCCATTGCCCTTTAAATATGCCACTCATTGCTTCAAGCCACACCTCACGACACCCACCAAATGGGAGGAAACGTACCTCAAAGTCTGTTCAAAAACATACAATTAAGTTTGGGATTAACGTGTCGTTCAGTACAAACCGTTCCGCAACGTAGCAAACGTTCACGCGAACTGAATGCACCTCTGGTGTGTTGGCCGTGCCCACTAATTGGCCACACCTGACCTTAATGAGTATTTGTTTCCTTTGAAATGGGGTCTGTTTCAACATGGCTTGCTAGCTCTATCCTGGTGGTGCAGTGGACTAATTCCACAGATAGAGAACAGAAGATCATAGGTTTCAATCTCACTGATGCTGTGCCATAAAAAATAAATGTTTGCATGATTAATGCAAAACAGTTAACCCAAACTAAGCTAGCAGTGTTATTAAAAGCCTTATTGAAACATGTTATCAGAACATTATTTAATTACATTCAAATAACCTTAATGAATGTTAATGAAATATCTGATAATAACTTTAAGGGAACAATAGTAAAATGTAAGTCCAGAACAGGTGAAAGTTTCACTTCCGTTATCAGAATGTTTAAAAAAACGTTCCGTTTTCCAGTCAGGAAACTTATGGCTTCGTTCCCAGAACCAATACGAAACCAGAAACGTACGTTCCCACAACTTCCAAGGAACCAAATGTGCTAGCTGGGGAATAACTTGACATAATTCCTTAGGAGTTTGAAAGATATGTGGTAGATTTTGTGCTGATCTTTATCTGATTCATGCCACATGCTCTGTTATGGTGACAAGACATTTGCAGATTTCTTAAGCATATTAGCCGAAATCGTTTGTGCTGTCTTACCAACTCCTATGGTCATTGGCAACAGATCTGTGACCATACTAGTATACACTATATATATATACAAAAGTATGTGGACTCCCCTTCAAATTAGTGGATTCGGTTATTTCAGCCACACCCGTTGCTGACGGATGTATGAAATCGAGCACACAGCTATGCAATCTCCATAGACTAACATTGCCAGTAGAATGGCCTTACTGAAGAGCTCAGTGACTTTCAACGTGGCACTGTCATAGGATGCCACCTTTCCAACAAGTCAGTTCGTCAAATGTCTGCCCTCCTAGAGCTGCCCCGGTCACCTGTAAGTGCTGTTATTGTGAAGTGGAAACATCTAGGAGCAACAACGGCTCAGCCGCGAAGTGGTAGGCCACACAAGCTCACAGAATGGGACTGCCAAGTGCTGAAGCGCGTAAAAATCGTCTGTCCTCAGCTGCAACACTCACTACCGGGTTCCAAACCGCCTCTGGAATCAACGTCAGCATAATAACTGTTCGTCAGGAGCTTCATGAAATGGGTTTCCATGGCCGAGCAGCCGTACACAAGCCTAAAATCACAATGCGCAATGCCAAGCATCGGCTCGAGTGGTGTAAAGCTTGCCGCCATTGGACTCTGTAGCAGTGGAAACGCATTCTCTGGAGTGATGAATCACGCTTCACCATCTGGCAGTCCGACGGATGAATCCGGGTTTGGTGGATGCCAGGAGAATGCTACCTGCCCGAATGCATAGTGACAACTGTAAAGTTTGGTGGAGGAGGAATAATGGTCTGGGGATGTTTTTCATGGTTCGGGCTAGGCCCCTTAGTTCCAGTGAAAGGAAAGCTTAACGCTACAGCATACAATGACATTCTAGACGGTTCTGTGCTTCCAACTTTGTGTCAACAGTTTGGGGAAGGCCCTTTCCTGTTTCAGCATGACAATGTCCCCGTGCAGAAGGCGAGGTCCATACAGAAATGGTTTGTCGAGATCGGTGTGGAAGAACTTGACTAGCCTGCAGAGTCCTAACTTCAACCCCATCGAACACCTTTGGGATGAATTGTGACGCGGACTGCGAGCCAGGCCTAATCGCCCAACATCAGTGCCCGACCTCACTAATGCTCGTGGCTGAATGGAAGCAAGACCCCGCAGCAATGTTCCAACATCTAGTGGAAAGCCTTCCCAGAAAAATGGAGGCTGTTATAGCAGCAAAGAGGGGACCAACTTCATATTAATGCCCATGATTTTGGAATGAGATGTTCGACAAGCAGGTGTCCACATACTTCTGGTCATGTAGTGTAGAAGGCTGACTCAATGATGAAGATGTTTCCTATGGGGAGCAAAACAGTAATGATAGTGAAATAGAGTGAACAATGTGTGCTTGTGTTTTAGAGGCACTGTGAGTGTGGAGCTGAAGAGTAACAGTTTGCTCTCAGTAATTCGATGAATAAGAGCCCTTATCACCAAGTTGTACCCAGACTGGTCCATGATGACACCACATGCAGTGCAATTGGTACTGTGGCACTGAATATGACCAGAGAGGTGGTGAATTGAATAGAACATGTCACACATTGTCTTCAATACTATGGTCATGTAAATCTTCAGTGCTTATTGTTATTGACAAAGTAGTGCTGTAGAAAGTTGGATATATAATCATTACATCACCCTCCATCCATCCAGTCAAACCCACCCTCCATCCATCCATCTAGCCCCACGTTCCAGCCATGTGCTACTGGCTTTAACTACTAGAACCTCGTGACTAAGCCTACCCTGTCATACCAGTGGTGGGGCAGGCTCAAGTCTGGAGTATTGTCCAGACCAGATCCATGCAGTCATGTTCATCGAGGCTAAGTACTCTGGTCTGGAGTATGGCCTTGTCAGTCCAGAGACCAGGGAGTCATATATACCCTTTTTGAAATCTATTTAGCCAAGCTGAGCTGAATCATGCTGGTTACAGTACACCTACCATCCACCATAGGTGATGGAACCGTGCTGGGAAAAATGACTGTGTAAAAAGAGCCAGCAAACACAGTACGGTACAGGTTGGAATGATAGTATGAAAGGGTAATTGAGACTTAGAAGCCAGCAGGTCACACAGGACTCATACTCTTGGTTTCGTAGTGAAAAGAGGAGGGAGGAAGGGAGGGAGAAGGAGAGGAAGACAGGATGTGGTGATGTTTCAGAAGATGGTGGCTGGGTGCACTGACTCATTCCCCCCCCCCTCTCAAAAAAAGTATGTTATCTCAACTTCTATTTCAGTAAGCCTCCAGTTATTTATTGATGATGCTCTCTTGAAAAACTATTATAAACTTGGCACTGTATTTTCTCTCTGAGGTTTAAATGGCAGTTGAAACATTGTGTGCATGAGAAGCACTCTTGAATGACACATTTTTCTGGGTAAATCAAAGATATTGTAGCAACCTTAACCCAACACTTAGCGATCTTGTCAAAGGGTTCAGATATCTTGGCGTAACGGCTAAGGTGTTGGCTTGACAGTCACTGGACCAGGGTTTGAGTTCTGGTCAGGGCTACCACCCAAATTCCCTACAATATGTAAACTAACTTATTTGCTTTTCCTAGAAGACTAAAATACTTTCATGATTCAGCTTTTATGTTTCAGTTCCTTCGTAAACCGTTAAAGTATTTCTCTTTTTACTGTACACCACATCTCTGTCTGACAGAGATAAGAAGTCACAGTTTATGAAAGGATCTACCAAAGATTTAAAGTTGATTTAAAACTGTTACTTTCAATATTAATTTTGCTGTATATCATTTACAGTGCTGTGAAAAAGTATTTGCACCCTTTCTGATTTTCTCTATTTTTGCATATTTTTGATACTGAATGTTATGAAATCTTCAACCTAATATTAGATAAAGGGAACCTGAGGTTACAAATAACAAAGAAAGGTCCCATTATGCCTGCCGAAAACCAAACACTGCATTCCACAGTAACAACCTTATACCAACAGTCAAGCATGGTGGTGGTAGTGTGATGGTTTGGGGATGCTTTGCTGCCTCAGGACCTGGACGACTTGCCTTAATAGATGGAACAATTAATTCTGCTTTGTATCAGAGTTGTATGTACAGGATACACATGGTATACAGTACCGTCCAACGAAATGCTTACTTGCAGGTTCCTTCTCGACAATGCAACAACAATAAGAAATAATAAAAGATAAGAATACGAACATAAAGTAAATAGATCAGTAGAATAGAATAAACATTTTAGCATCAGTATAATACAGGAAGGCACAATTTATAGTGCAATATTTACACATGTTTTGGGGAAGGGGGGCAAGTGTTTAAACTTTGCAGTATTTAGCAATCATAATAAGAGTCTGGTAGCAGTAGTTGTGATGTGTATCATGAATGTGTGTGTGTGTGTGTGTGTGTGTGTGTGTGTGTGTGCGCGTGAGTGAGTGAGTGCATGTGTGCAGAGAATCAGAGCAGGGAGTCAGTCCAGTTCAAGTGTTCAGCAGTCTGATGGCTTGTAGATAGAAACTGTCTCTGTGCCTGTTGGTATCAGACCTCATGATCCGATACCGTCTGGCCGACGGAAAGGGAGTGAACAGCCCTCACAACCCTGTCGTTTGTATGTTCTAGGTCCTGTCACATAACTTGTGTACGGTTCTGTCCATCCCTCACGACCCGGTGGCTCTAGAAGAACACTTCAGGGATGATGACGATGGACCAGTCTCCAGCCAGGGGTACATGCCTTACCTCAACAAATACATACTGGACAAGGTAAAGTCATGTACACAAACACACCTTACATTTTTGCCTCAGTCTCTCCTTTTCATTGGATTTATGAGCCCTTTGGGTTTGGGATGGAATTACTTGTGAATGCCCACATACTCATTCCACAAACATACCCTCACAAAACATTGCATGTATCTATAAATGCATATAGAGTCATGGCTATAAAAAGTAATTATTTTGTTTGTGTACCCATATGCCACCACGGTTTATAAAGGAGGAAAAGAGTGCTAGGTACATGTTTTCTTACTCAGTGCTGTTTATTATGCCTCATTCTCACAGGTAGAAGAGGGCTGTTTTGTAAAAGAACAGGTTGATGAACTGTGCTGGACTCTCACTGCTAAGAAGAACTATAAACCGGCGAAGGACAATAAGAATGTGTTGACAGGGAAAGATGCCTTTCGTCTCTGGTGTCTGTTTAACTTTCTGTCAGAGGATAAATACCCTCTCGTTATGGTTCCTGATGAGGTGAGTTATGTGTACAAAGCATGCTGGGTTCTGTAGCAAATTATACTATAAATTCACCTAGAATACAGCGGATGGATGCTAAATAAACCTAATATATTTAGTCACTTAAAAAGGGAAAAGGCCCATCACTAACTTTCAAAACCACTTTAACAAAATCCAAACACTCATTCTAATATGTAGTATTTAATTGTAGAGGCAGCATGTAGCCTAGCGGTTAAGCTTGTTGGGCCAGTAACCGAAAGGTTGCTGGTTCAAATTGCTGACTAACGTTAACCCTAACCCCTAGTCTAGTTAATGTTAGCCAGCTAACTAATGTTAGCCACCTAGCCATCTAGCTAGAATTCGTAACATATCATACGTTTTGAAATTTGTAACATATTATATGAATTGTAATTTGTAACATATGATACGAAATGGGTGATGGACATCCACAAATTAATACCTACCATACAAAACTTAACATACAGTATCACGCTAAATGGACCATCTCGGATTTATGTATAGAATAATAAGAAATGCTCTGAGACCAGTTTGCTAAATATAGCAAACCTGTGAGGAATGTTTTTCTTCCTACTGATTGCTGTGTGTCTTTCATTATCTAAATGTGGGCTTACGTGTCACTTGTAGCATGGCTTTTGGTTTCCTCCTTGTAGTCTGTTTTTCACAACCGCTGTTGGCAGTGTGATTGTGAATAGCCACAGATTTCAGTGCACTACAGCCAGCAGTCGGGGTGGTTTCACTGAAAACAAAAGCGTAGGTTACATTATCATCCAAACATTCTCTTGTGAGTCGTGACAGACTGTTAATATAAACGAGATTGAGATCGAGACTCAGAGATTATGAACCAATTACAAAACAATTGAAAGGCAACCATTCCCCCCATATACCAATTGCATCCCTTTTACAAACAAAATATTTGTGTTTTGTTCGCATTATTCAGGTGGAATACCTCCTGAAGAAGATTTGCATGGCCATGAGTGTTGAGCTCAACTGTGTGGAGCTGGAAGACTTCATCTCCCAGGATGCAGTGCAGCAGAATGGTTTCACTGTCTGGTCTTTCCTGGAGATGATAAACTCTGGGAAGATAACCAGAGGCATGGGCCAGGAAATCACCAGCATGGCCATAGAGGAGGTGTACAGGGAGATAGTTGCTGATGTCCTCAAAGAGGTAGGGTACTTTAAAATAACAGACCAACACAGCATATAGTATCTCTATACTGTCTGCCTGTCTGTCTGCCTGAATTTCTTGCTATCTGCCTATAATGTAATGTGTCAGTAATGTGTCCGTTTTGTGTCAGTGATGTGTGGGTTGACTGTGTTGCCTCCAGGGGTACCTGTGGAAGAAGGGTCAGCTGAGGAGGAACTGGAAGGAGCGCTGGTTCACCCTGAGGCCCAGTACCCTGGCCTACTACACCAGCGAGGACCGCAAGGAGAGCCAGGGAAGCATTGCTCTGGATGGGAACTGCTGTGTGGAGGTAGGCTGGGCTGGAGGTGGGGTGGGACCTGGGGTGGGGCAGTGGGGACAGGCATGGCTGAGATGGGCCTGCTCCTTTTTGAGAATGGGTAACAGATAGGAATTACTGATTCAATCAGAGCTACAGGGTTAACACATCCCTCCCTCATATGCTCCATTTGAAATAGCTGCAAATAGAAATGAATTTACAACAAATATATATACATTGTGCTAATGTATCACAATGAGTACTTCTCCTGTTGATCAGGTGCTGCCAGACCGGGATGGGAAGAGGTGTATGTTCTGTCTGAAAACTCTGTCCAAGACCTACGAGATGAGTGCCTCGGATACCAAGCAGAGACAGGAATGGGCTGCAGGTACAACGATCAAGAATGTGTCAATTGAGCATTTACACGTTATTGACACAATTATGTAGGGCTATGATGAATTACCAAGCTTGTAAGAACTATCATACTGATGACAAAAGTAGTGAAGGCAGTGATTCCCCCTGCCCTATATGTTGGGTTGATTACTGGGTTGATTATTCAAAGTCAAGCAGTAAGCATATACTACATCCTGTTCCTCCCTTCACCCCCAGCCATTCAGACAGCCATCCGTCTACACGCTGAAGGGAAGACCTCTCTCCACAAGGACCTGAAGCTGAAGAGGAAGGAGCAGAGGGAACAGCGGGAGAGGCGGCGGCTGGCCAAGGAGGAGGAGCTGCAACGTTTTCAGGCCCTGCAGGAGGAGAAGGAGCGTAAGCTGACCGAGCTGGAGCTCCTGAAGGAGGCACAGAGGCAGGCGCAGGCCCTCCTGGAGCAGGACGAGATGAAGTGGCGCCAGCATCATGAGGAGATGCAGCAGGCCCTGGAGGTGCAGCTCCGCGAGGCAAAGGAGGTGAAGACTGGGAGGGGGAGAGGTGTGGGGGAGGGGGGGAGGAAGTGTAGGGGGGAGCAGATGAGGTGAGGAAGAGAGGTGAGGGTGGAGGGAAGAGAGGAGTGTGGTTGCATGGAGGAGAAAGGTGGAGGAGTGCTGATGAATGTTTACCTGTGTCGCGCAGGAGAAGGGTGGAGGTATATGTGGAGGATTGTTGATTCAGACTGGAGGAGTGAGTGTCTAGATGTTCCATGCTGATTTGTGTCTCCTTCTCCAGTCGCGGGCCACCATGCAGGCAGAGATGGTTCTGAAGGAGGAGGAGGCGGAGCGGCAGAGGAAGAGGATCAAGGAGCTGGAGGAGATGCAGACAAGTCTGGAGGAGGCTCTACAGCAGGAGATCAAAGCTCGGCAGGACGAAGAGGTCTTTAGATACGCACAGACTGGGTAAAGGAATACACACACACACAGAGACATGGCGGCACACATGCAGGTAGGCAGTTACCCACGCATGCATGCAAACACACTCCCGCATACACACACACACAGGCTGAGGGCAGGGTGCTGGACACACTCAGACATTGTTTTGTTCACACTCACTCACAAACCTAGTACCCTCACAACTCATTTTCTTACAAGACACAGGCTCATCTTAGGGCTAGCTGTCATCATGTGAGAAGGCACCAAATTGGCACGTAAAAGCTGCATGTCTTTTTACCAAGCACAGCACAGATGGTGTTAAGAGAAGCCTATTGCTGTTGAAGGGAGGCTGTTGCATTAGTTAGGTTCCTGAGGAAGTTGTTTTTAACAGAGGAAGTTGTCTAGCTACGATCTGTAGGATCTGTTGAAACTGACAGGGTGTTAATGGTGTGTCTGTCACAATCTTCCACGCATAAATAAACTATTGGATAAGCAGTGTGCTTTAATGCATTCATTCACTGGCTGCTCTATGGGAAACATACAGATCCTAACCTGTTCTATTTAATTCTGTGACTGCAAATACCAAGCGCCAAGCTCTCTGCTTGTCTCAAAGATCCCAGACACTCACAGACATATAGCATACAAATATGAAGTAATAAGACATTACAAAGGCTCATATGCTTTTAAAAATGTACATAACATTGTACAGTATATAGTGAAAAGTAATGGAGATAAGCCACAGACTGGGGGGGCGCCTGTGTTTTACTGTACACTTTTTGAGAGATGATTGCGAGGTCAAGAGTTTGCATGTGTCACGTTTCTAAAAACATAAAATGTGTCTCATCCAACTTCTTACCACATCATGTTATATCGACTGTATGTCTTCCAGTTAAAGATTTTCTATTTGTCATATACGTTTATTGTACAGTTTGCTGTCTGAGGAGGAGGAGAAGATGAAGGCCCTGATGGCGCTGCAGGAGGAGCAGGAGGAGTACATCCTGAAGACCCAGAGGGAGAAGCAGGAGCTAAGGCAAGAGATGGAGAACAAGTCCCGGGCTCTGGAGGAGGCCCAGAGGCAGCTGGAGGAGGTCAGGGCCAACCGCCACCGGGTCGACCAGGACGTTGTGGTGAGTACAGAGACACAGTATATAAATACCTATGCATAATGTTATAATTATAGTTATATAGTGATGAGTAGCCTATCAACACACCGTTAACAGTACTTCAACAGTTATTTGGGTATCACATCCCACTGGGCACAGACGTCAGTTCAATGTCTAGTTTTGATTTACACTTGGTTGATTTGTCAACTAATGTGAATTCAACATTTAAAAAAAATAATCACAATGTAATTGGATTTAGGTTAAAAGTTGGGTGAAACAAATGACAAAATGCCCTTGTTGATGACTTTTTGCAAATCAATTTAGTTTTCCACGTTGATTCAACGTCGTCACATAGATCTTTGGGGTTGAAATGACATGGCAACAACGTTGATTCAACCAGTTCTTTGCCAAGTGGGATGTGATCAGGGATGGGATTGCGGGAGATAGTGTGAGAATTAAGTACGTTTTACTGTGTTCGTGTGGGGTGTTTCAATTTGTCTTGTGTTCTTATAGGCTGCCCAGAGGAAGCTTCGCCAGGCCAGTACCAATGTCAAACACTGGAATGTTCAGATGAACCGACTGATGCGTCCTATTGGACCAGGAGGTAGGCTCTGTCACACCACACCAGTATTTTCATTGACTATAAAAAACATACACAGAAAGCTTAGGTTTGATATATTATCATGTTTGAGGGGCAGATAAAAACAGGGAGGTGTAGTCACGATCTGCAACATAACATCTCCCGAGTGGCGCAGTGGTCTAAGGCACTGAATCGCAGTGCTAGCTGTGCCACTAGAGATCCTGGTTCGAATCCAGTCTCTGTCGTAGCCGGCCGCGACCAGGAGACCCATGGGGCGGCGCACAATTGGCCCAGCGTCGTCCAGGGTAGGGGAGGGAATGACCGGCAGGGATCTGGCTCAGTTGGTAGAGTATGGCGTTTGCAACGCCAGGGTTGTGGGTTCGATTCCCACGGGGGGCCAGTATGAAAAAAAAAATATATATATAATGTATGCACTAACTGTAAGTCGCTCTGGATAAGAGCATCTGCTAAATGACTCAAATGTAATGTAATGTAACACTGTGTCCCAAATGGCACCCGATTCCATTTATAGAGCACTACTATTGACCAGTCAAAAGTAGTGCACTATAAATGGAATCGGGTGCCGTTTGGGACGCGTACACTGCCAAGTGCTTGTGGTTTGGGTGGCTTTTAACTATGCCCAAAGAGCAGGTAGCAAATCAGACCTCCAATGTGCAGACCTACTGTACAGCAGTAGGAGTATAGTATGCTAAAGGTCTTCAGAAGCGTCCCTCTTTCTCATTGTGGTTGCAGCTGGGCTTTGTCAAGCTCATTTTAGAAGACTACTTCCTCAAATATAGTGCAAACAAGACGTGTTCGTGCATTTCTATTTTATTGATCTGAATCATATTTTGTACTGAAACCCCTGGCTCTACTCATTCCACCCTTACCAGATGACATGCCACCACTCTCCCTGCATTGCTTGTCTTTGCCAAAGTTAGACAGCTACAAGTTAGACAAATGACATTTCAGGGGGTGACTGATATTTATTTTTTAACCTTTATTTAACTAGTCAAGTCAGTTAAGAACAAATTCTTATTTACAATGACGGCCTCCTGCGGGGACGGGGGATTAAAAATAAAGATATAGGACACACATCATGACAAGAGAGACACCACAACACTACATAAAGAGAGACCTAAGACAACAACATAGCATGGCAGCAACACATTACAACACAGCATGGTAGCAGCAACACATGACAACAACATCGTAGCAACACAACATGGCAGCAGCACAACATGGTAGCAGCACAAAACATGGTACAAACATTTTTAGCTGCAGACAACCCTGGTTCTCTTTGATGACATTGTTTCTTCAGCACCATATAGGCTAAAATAAATGTTTGTGTCTCCTGTTCTCCCTCCCATGGTTCCAGAGAAGAGACCATCAGGAGGGGGCTCTTTCTCCAGCTTCCAGATCCCATCCCAGAGAGATCCAGGTCTGCGTCTGAGACAGAAGTCTGAGGAGCAGGACGAGGAGAGCAAGGAAAACGTGGACAACAGCAGCAGTGCAGGGTCAGGGTGTGAAGGAGGGAGAGGAGAGATAATTGAGAGGCGTCTCTCTCAGGCGTCTAACGGAGACATGGACATTCCCTGATTATCATATGGTGCTTCTCCTCAAAGCCAAACTCATCAACTGTGTATTTTGTTTGTGTTTTTTCTAATGGAAAAACAAGATGGAGAGCCTTTTAGTATGAATTCATCTTTTTAGGTGAACTTTCTGTCAAAGGGATTGCTGGGTAGGATAAAGGGTAAGTAAACACGACATCTGTTTACAGCTGTTCAAATATTCTCCCACAAAGTTTGTTTTGTTATTGTATTATAACTTTTTAATAGTTTGTATTATTCTCTCACCAGTATGTTATAACAGATCTCCATGTTTTAATGAAGAATGAAAGAACCATGACACACTAGTATGAATTTTGTAGATATATTTACTAAATAGTTTGTAACCTCGTCCCCAGGCTCAATTGAGCTGGCTGGTGCACCAGATTAAATGGTTTGGAATCTAGTTTTTGCTCACCTCTTTGTGTGTCGCCACTAAAAGCATGATCAAATGGTAAAGGGTTGGGCTCGATATGCAAACAGAGAAGACTGATTTGTAGAGGGAAAATAATGCAAACTGCTTCTGTGGTCTCTCTATTTCCTGTTTCCGTTGAAAGTCAACAGATATGTACAGATGAAGGCTCTTTCTAGGGTGCCTGCCTTACCTACATATTATGCAACGTGTGTAAAGTGAATTGTTGACATGGCAGTTTCTCAATGTTCATGTCTAATTCAGGGTATTCTCTTGCTTTTTATTTGAGTGCTTCCATTGCATTATTTACACTGAATGTACAAAACATTAGGAACACCTTCCTAATATTGAGTTGCACCCTTTTGCCCCTCAGAACAGCTTCAATTCGTCGGGGCATGAACTCTACAAGGTGTCGAAAGCATTCCACAGGGATGCTGGGTCATGTTGACTCCAATGCTTCCCACAGTTGTGTCAAGTTGGCTGGATGTCCTTTGGGTGGTGGACCATTCTTGATACACACGGGAAACTGTTGAGCGTGAAAAACCCAGCGGTGTTGCAGTTCTTAACACAAACCGGTGCGCCTGGCACCTAGTACCATACCCCGTTCAAAGGCACTTAAATTTGTCTTGCCAATCACCCTCTGAATGACACATACAGTGGGGAAAAAAAGTATTTAGTCAGCCACCAATTGTGCAAGTTCTCCAACTTAAAAAGATAAGAGAGGCCTGTAATTTTCATCATAGGTGCACGTCAACTATGACAGACAAATTGAGGAAAACAAATCCAGAAAATCACATTGTAAGATTTTTAATGAATTTATTTGCAAATTATGGTGGAAAATAAGTATTTGGTCACCTACAAACAAGCAAGATTTCTGTCTCTCACAGACCTGTAACTTCTTCTTTAAGAGGCTCCTCTGTCCTCCACTCGTTACCTGTATTAATGGCACCTGTTTGAACTTGTTATCAGTATAAAAGACACCTGTCCACAACCTCAAACAGTCACACTCCAAACTCCACTATGGCCAAGACCAAAGAGCTGTCAAAGGACACCAGAAACAAAATTGCAGACCTGCACCAGGCTGGGAAGACTGAATCTGCAATAGGTAAGCAGCTTGGTTTGAAGAAATCAACTGTGGGAGCAATTATTAGGAAATGGAAGACATACAAGACCACTGATAATGTCCCTCGATCTGGGGCTCCACGCAAGATCTCACCCCGTGGGGTCAAAATGATCACAAGAACGGTGAGCAAAAACCCCAGAACCACACGGGGGGACCTAGTGAATGACCTGCAGAGAGCTGGGACCAAAGTAACAAAGCCTACCATCAGTAACACACTACGCCGCCAGGGAGTCAAATCCTGCAGTGCCAGATGTGTCCCCCTGCTTAAGCCAGTACATGTCCAGGCCCGTCTGAAGTTTGCTAGAGTGCATTTGGATGATCCAGAAGAGGATTGGGAGAATGTCAGATGAAACCAAAATATAACTTTTTGGTAAAAACTCAACTCGTCGTGTTTGGAGGACAAAGAATGCTGAGTTGCATCCAAAGAACACCATACCTACTGTGAAGCATGGGGGTGGAAACATCATGCTTTGGGGCTGTTTTTCTGCAAAGGGACCAGGACGACTGATCCGTGTAAATTAAAGAATGAATGGGGCCATGTATCGTGAGATTTTGAGTGAAAACCTCCTTCCATCAGCAAGGGCATTGAAGATGAAACGTGGTTGGGTCTTTCAGCATGACAATGATCCCAAACACACCGCCCGGGCAACGAAGGAGTGGCTTCGTAAGAAGCATTTCAATGTCCTGGAGTGGCCTAGCCAGTCTCCAGATCTCAACCCCATAGAAAATCTTTGGAGGGAGTTGAAAGTCTGTGTTGCCCAGTGACAGCCCCAAAACATCACTGCTCTAGAGGAGATCTGCATGGAGGAATGGGCCAAAATACCAGCAACAGTGTATGAAAACCTTGTGAAGACTTAGAGAAAACGTTTGACCTGTGTCATTGCCAACAAAGGGTATATAACAAAGTATTGAGAAACTTTTTGTTATTGACCAAATACTTATTTTCCACCATAATTTGCTAATAAATTCATAAAAAATCCTACAATGTGATTTTCTGGATTTCTTTTTCTCATTTTGTCTGTCATAGATGACGTGTACCTATGATGAAAATTACAGGCCTCTCTCATCTTTTTAAGTGGGAGAACTTGCACAATTGGTGGCTGACTAAATACTTTTTTTCCCCACTGTATACACAATCCATGTCTCAACTATCTCAAGACTTAAAAATAATTATTTGTGCACACATTTGTTTACATCCCTATGAGTGAGCATTTCTCCTTTGTCAATATAATCCATCCACCTGACAGGTGTGGCACATCAAGAAGCTGATTAAACAGCATGATTATTACACAGGTGCACCTTGTGCTGGGGACAATAAAAGGCCACTTTAAAATGTGTAGTTTTGTCACACAACACAATGCCACAGATGTCTCAAGTTTTGAGGGAGCATGCAATTGGCATGCTGACTGCAAGAATGTCCACCAGAGCTGCTGCCAGAGAATTTAATGTTCATTTCTCTACCATAAGCTGCCTTCAACGTCGTTTTAGAGAATTTGGCAGTACGTCCAACCAGCCTCACAACCGCAGACCACATGTAACCAAGCCAGCCCAGGACCTCCACATCCAGCTTCTTCACCTGCGGTTTTGTCTGAGGCGGGCTGAGGAGTATTTCTGTCTGTAATAAAGCCCTTTTGTGGAGAAAAACTCATTCTGATTGGCTGGGCCTGGCTCCCCAGTGGGTGGGCCTATGGATGCGCCCCTGCCCAGTCGTGAAATCCATAGATTTTATTTAAGATTTTCTTATATGAACCGTAACTGTAAAATATTTGAAACTTTTGCTTTTATATTTTTGTTCAGTATAAGAAGTCCTACAAAATCCTATCATTGCTATGCCGATGACACTCAACTACTCTTCTCCTTCCCCCCTTCTGACACCTAGGAGGCGACACGCATCTCTGTGTGCCTGGCAGACATCTCAGCTTGGATGTCAGCCCACCACCTCCAGCTCAACCTCAACAAAACAGAGCTGCTCTTCCTCCCGCGGAAGGCCTGCCCGCTCCAAGACCTCTCCATCACGGTTGACAACTCCACGGTGTCCCCCTCCCAGAGAGCAAATAACCTTGGCGTGACCCTGGACAACACCCTCTCGTTCTCTGCAAACATCAGTGACTAGCTCCTGCAGGTTCATGCTCTGCAACATCCGTAGAGTATGACCTTTCCTCACACAGGAAGCGGTGCAAGACCTAATCCAGGCACTTGTCATCTCCCGTCTAGCCTACTGGAACTCTCTGTTGGCTGGGCTCCCCGCTTTTGCCATCAAACCCCTGCAACTTATCCAGAATGCCGCAGCCCTCCTGGTGTTCAACCTTCTTCTTCTTCGGTATCATGACATTCACACATTTTGTTTGTGCATGCCGCCACCTACTGTGCAGTAATGTGTGTTCAATCACCTTACGTTTTGTGATACAAAAATAAAAAGGGAAAAAAATTATCACCACCCCATTCCACTACTTTGACCCTATCTGACCCCATTCCACTACTTTGACCCTATCTGCTCCTGTACCATGCCACTGGCCTGGGAGGATGGGACACCACCACTCTTCACCACTTTTCCGAAGTCAAATCTTGTATACCCGAATACTTCTCTGCAGCTGACACCACAACATGTATTTTCAATTTCTGCGGTACAGTTGATAACCATTGCTATTGTAAGTCGCTCTGGATAAGAGCGTCTGCTAAATGACTACAAAAAAAAAAAAAAAAAAAAAAAAAAAAAAATGAACGCTAAGAAGCAAACCTTAATGAAGCATACTCACAGGGATCCTCTCAGGATCCCTCACCCTTGACCCATCCTCCTCTACCTCAGAATACAACATATTCTGCACTACTCTGACTCTGGCCAGCTCCACCGGCCTCTCTCGCACCGTCACTTCCGATCCCCAGAAACATGGGCACCCCTAAAGTTGACACACAACTTTATTCACCGAAACTACACAATCCTCTATCTCATGCCCTCCTGCACACTTCCCACATCTTGGAATCTCCCTCCTACACACTGCTGTGACATGACCATAAACGTTGCACCTGAAACACCGCAATGGATTCGGCACAAAAGCTCTAACAGGATAACTGATATATACTCAAAACTCAAAAGGACTGACAGTGCCTCCTCTGTTTCACTACCGGGTCTGCGTCGCACCAAACGGCAGGTATCACAAACACCAGGAATCTTCAACTTCAATTGCTCCACTTGCACACTTAACACTTCCCCAGAAATCACTCCATTCAATGGTGCCCTATTCCTAAGCGCAAAGCAAGAAACCGATCTTGACCCAAGTTGCGTGACATGGAGCGCCCGCTCCCTCTGGTGCGAAGAAACACAAACAAATATCACAAGTCCACTACAGGTTACCTTCACTGATTCAACTGCTCCCAACTTCTTTCCCACCCTCCCTGAAACCACAAATGGATCCGACAAAAGGAAAGGATCCACTTTCTCCAAAAATGTTACTCCTAC